CAGCACGAGCACAAGGTTGAGCCGCAAAACGGCGGATGCAAGAAAGGCCGTCACATCTTCCTTGGGGTTTAGGGTTTAGGGTTTAGGGTTAAGGGTTTAGGGTAAACTTAGGATCTATATTGCCCTATACAAAACGTACCCTAAGCCCAACTAGGGTATATGAACCATAGACTGACCATAGACCTTTTAGGGTTCATCCGACCCTTAAGGCCTTAAGGTTCTAGAAACGAACCCTAAACCCTAAACCCTAAACCCTAAACCCTAAACCCTAAACCCTAAACCCTAAACCCTAAACCCTAAACCCTAAACCCTAAACCCTAAACCCTAAACCCTAAACCCTAAACCCTAAACCCAAATTCAAGCTCGGAGGTCCTTGACAGAAGGCCTGAACCCTAAAACCTAAACCCTAAACTCTATAAGAACGGAACCCTGAACCGTACAGAGCCTTTTAAGGCGGGTGTAGGGCTTCAGGACCCCAAGTCAAGAAAACCTACGAACCCTGAAGCCCTCATGAACTCCGAACGGGTTCCGCAACTGAGGCTCTAAGCCCTACAACATATTCCCCAAACCCTACTCTGCCTAAACCCGAAACCCTAAACTCCCTGAACCCTGAACTCCCGAAACGCCCTAAACCCTAAACCCTAAACCCTAAACCCCTCAACCCGCAGGCGTCCTCTGCAACCTCCAGGGCTTCGAGATGGCTGGCTTCGCCATCCTGCGTAGGGGGGGGGGGGGGGGGGGTTAGGGTTTAGGGTTTAGGGTTTAGGGTTTAGGGTTTAGGGTTTAGGGTTTAGGGTTGAGGGTTTCGGGTTTAGGGTTCAGGAGATTCGGGTTTTTAGGAGAGGCTTTCGGCAGTTCTGCTCTGGGCTGTCTTTCCTTGCACCTGCCATCCCCCCAAACCTCTCCCAAGTTTCTAGCAGCTTAGGATAGGGGTTCCGGAGCCCTAAACCCTGAACCCTAAACCCGAAACCCTAAACCCTAAGGAGCTTTGGGTGCGTTTCCGCCCTCCCAAGCTCAGAATTCTCAGAGGTCTTGAGCCTGGGTAGGGCCAGGCTTAGTGGCATCTAGGGCTTCGGGTTGAGCAGTTTAGGGTTTAGGGTTTAGGGTTTAGGGTTTAGGGTTTAGGGTTTAGGGTCTAGGGCAAAGGGCTGTCTAGGGCTTAGGGAAAACTCTGAAGGTGTATGGGTGTTAGGTTTCGGTTTGGGGCTTTGGCTCTAGGCCTCGGGGTGTACATGAGGGGCCAATGGAATTAGGAGGGCATGTGGGGCAGCCCACAACCCTGAGGGAGAGGGTGACATTGATCGTGTACTACTCTTAGCCTATGAACACCAAGAACTAAACCGATAAGAACCCTTCCGTTACCCGTATAAGGAAGAAGGATATTATTTGCCATTTACTATTACAATTACTCTTATTATTCTTACTTTTATTGTTATTATTATTGCTATCATAATTATCGTTATGATTATTAGTGCAACTATTATATTTTACATTTCTTTTTTTTGGGGGGGGAGGCGGTCTTAAGCATTAGTTTATGCTCCCCCTAAACCCGGCACTCTAAACCCCAAACCCCTTAGAACTTGAATGCAAACTGGCCATGTCAGAGGTGCCGACAAGCTCCATTGAAATCCTAAATGCTCACTCGACTGTTGCCTTGGGCAGCAGCAGAACGGCATCTACCACGTTCTTTTTTAATTTTGGCTTTCCTCCAGCCCCCAAAAGCATGGACCCGGATGACAGCATCTGGCTATTATGGGTTTTTGTTTAAACTTAGGGGCTGTTTTTGTTTAAACTTAGGGGCTGGAGCAACCAGAGCCCTAAACCCTAAACACTAAACCCTAAACCCTAAACCCTAAACCCTTAACCCTAAACGTTAGGGCTGAAGCCCTGCAAGAAGAGGGCAGCCCTGGCATTCCCTCATCCGGCTTCAGCAGTTGGCGAGCCGTAGGTATCCTCGCCCCCAAGCAAGTTGAGGGTTCGCGGCGGTTTAGGGTTTAGGGTTTAGGGTTTAGGGGTTAGGGTTTAGGGTTTAGGGTCTAGGGAGAGATTAGGGTTCAGGGAGCGGTTTTAGGGGCCTAAGAGTTAAGGGTTGAGGTTTTAGGGTTCAGGGAGTTTAGGGTTGAGGGTGAAGGGTTCAGAGAGTTTTTTCGGTTTTAAGAGTTAAGGGGCCGGGAGTTTTAGAGTTGAGGGCTTAGGGTTCAGGAGTTTAAGAGCTATGTAAGGATCCAGGGAGTGTAGGGTTGAGGGTTTAGGGAGTTCAGGGATTAGGGGGCAGGGTGGAGGGAGTTCAGGGTCTAGGGTTTAGGGCTTCTGATAATGTGCCGTGGGGGAGGTCGAGATTCGGGGGCACCTACCGTGGCAGTAAAGGCAGTTCAGTGACGTACATCGGGCTTTCCCAAGATTTGCAGACCCCTTGGGGTTCCTGTATTGAAGACATAGGGTCACTTGGGGGCGCAATAGGGGTACCCCTTTTCCGGGGAGATAGCCATAGGGGTTTAGGGTTTAAGGACAAGAGGCTTAGGGTTGTGGATTTCATGATGGTAACATTTCAGGCGGGCGAGGGCGTTTTTGATTCCAAGGTGGCGGCGAATGCTCCAGGAAAGGCCAGAGCAACTTCTATCTGCTTAAGAAACCCCCCCAAGAAAATGAACAACAAACACTAATGGGAATAAGAATAAACCTATAATCCCTACCCCCCCCAAAAAAAACAATCCTAGATTACCATTTTTAAGGAAAACAGGGGCTCTTAAGCTAGGTTGCCGTAACCTGGGGTGAAACAAGGCTGCCCTTTGTTGCTGACATTCAAGGTGCCCAAAAGCCAAAAGAGCAAAGGGTACCACTGGGCGACCAAGCCTCGAACCTTCAACTGCGCTTAGGGTTTAGGGTTTAGGGTTTAGGGTTTAGGGTTTAGGGTTTAGGGTTTAGGGTTTAGCGCTCCATTCCGAAAGCGGGCACGTCCTTTGTCGGAAAATGCCCATAATGGCCCCTAAATTCCCATAGGGATTGTGGGCAAGGTTCCCCCAAACCCTGGGGTACAACCTTTACGGTCTCAGGTAGGGTCCCCTCCGATAAAATCTCCCAGGTCCCAGGTCCTTCCAATCTGTCATGACTGTGACCGTCAGGGGATCCTGCTCCAGGGCCCCCGCGGCCTAAACCCTGAAACCCTGAAACCCTGAAACCCTGAAACCCTGAAACCCTGAAACCCTCAAACCCTCAACCCTATAAACCCTCAAACCCTCAACCCTATAAACCCTAAACCCTAAACCCTAAGCCGATTTTGGCTGCCATCCCAGAACCCCGAAGCAAACTTGACAGCGCCAAGCCTCAACCCCTCAACCCTACATCGTGAATCTCAAAGCCTGCTTTGTAGCCCAGCAACCATTTACATATGATAAATATATATGTATATATATATATATATACACTTAATCCCTGTTCCCCTAGGAAGAAAAAGGATCCTTTTTGTTTGTATATAAGAAAGCCCATAACCCAAAAAGTAAAAAGGATCCCTAACACTGATCTAGTATATATATACATACATAATGCGGGTACGGGTGGTGGCGGTTACTTTCACTAGCACCACGTGGGCTAGCCTCTAAGCTTCAACTGGGTTAGGCTCAGGGCTTGGGGTTTAGGGTTTATAGGGCTTAGGGTTTAGGGTATACTTTTGAGTCTAGAGTTTAGCGTTTAGGGTTGCACCTAAGGTTTTGCTTCTCCAGGCCCTTGAGGCGATGAATTTCAGAGCCCACCGGCATTCGGAACGTTCTAACGAAGTCGGGTTCCCTTTAACACCCTAAACCCTGAACCCTAAACCCTAAACCCTGGGAGGGTAAAGACCCACGCTTGCGGCCTGCAGAACTTAGAGACCTTCATGGGGTTTAGGGTTTAGGGTTTCTAGAGTTTATAGGGTTTAGAGTCTAGAGTCTGCAGGGTCGTGAGTTTATGGGGCTTAGGGTGTTGGGATTTAGACTTAAGGGTTGGCATTCCGGGCACTTTGTTTCAAAAGCCCAAACACGAATCTCAAACACGACTCCGTTGTACCAGGGCCCCTTTGAAAGGATGCTCATTGCTTGAAGCCCGAGCCATGAAGCCAAACCCTAAACGCAACACTCTAACGAGGGATACCACACCTCCCCCTCTCTCTCTCTCTTTCTTTGGGAGTGGGTGCGATACTAAATGCAAAAGCTATGGGACTTACCTAACTCCCGGTAGGACTGATAAGCCTACACTTCCAGAGACCTAGTTGGTGTGTCCTCGAGGTCTCGAGTGACCTTGCCATCAGATCTCTGGATCTAGAGGACGACGCTGAGGGCGTTTGTTTAGTAGGGGGAGCTTCGGCCGAAGCCCTAAACCCTAAACCCGAAACCCTCAACTCCGAACCCCTAAAACCGAAACCCTGAACCACCTCTTCGCGAGGTGTCCTTAAACCCTAAACCCTAAACCCTAAACCCTAAACCCTAAACCCTAAACCCTAAACCCTAAACCCTAAACCCTAAAACCTAAACCATGGCCGCACTTTTTTCTCTTCCATCGACCAGGCATCGCCCCAGAGGGTCCGCTAGTGGTGCTTTTTCCGGAGTTTAGGATTTAGGGTTTAGGGTTTAGGGTTTAGGGTTTAGGGTGTAGGGGTTTAGGGGGTAGACAAACGGTTTAGGGTTTAGGGGTTTAGGTGTTTAGGGGTTTAGGGGCTAAGGGGTTAAGGGGTTAAGGGGTTTAGGGGTTAACGGGGCTAAGGGGTTCAGTATGGCCTTTGCTACCGAACTCCAAGTTTTGTACTACAGGCGGACGCTCTTGGCACCACGCCGGCTCTCAAAGCCACGCTTGGAGATTCATGGTACTTATTCTCCAATTATAACTGTACTTCTAACCCACTAATCAGCCCCGTAAGTGCCCTAAGATGGTTACAAGTACAGTTATAAGTATAAACCCTAAACCCTAAACCCTAAACCCTAAACCCTAAACCCTAAACCCTAAACCCTAAACCCTAAACCCTAAAAGCCTCAGGCTCTCAGCTTCTTGTAGTACTCCAGCAGCTCCCGCATGCCTTCAAAACTCCAGAGCATCTGGTCTCCCCCAAACCAAAACCGCTGCAGCTCTCACTTGAAAAACCCTAAACCCTAAACCCTAAACCCCAAACCCCAAACTCTAAACCCTAACCCCAAACCCTAAACCCTAAAAGTCAAGCCGGAATCCATGAGATCGCTTCGAGCGGCGATCTTGCGCCGAAGTGGAGTCGCTTTGGCCCCGCGTGGAGCCGTGAAGGAGGAGGATGTTGATATCCTGGGATTTAGGGTTCAGGCTTCAGGGGCTTTGGGCCATGGGGTTAAAGTGACTAAGGGTTTGAGGGGATGAAAGGTTTAAGGTTGATGTCCTGGGACTTCGGGTTCAGGTTGCAGGTTTAAGGGTTGTTGATTCAAGGGGTTGAGGGTTTGAGGGTTTCAGGGAGTAAGGAATTAAGGGATTAAGGGATTCAGGGTTTAACGGCTTAAGGGGTTAAGCGTCTAAGGGATTGGGGGGTTTAGGGATTTTGGAGGATATGTTGGCGACTTCAGCGCGGGGTCTGTGAATGCATGAAATTCTGCATGTACATGCACATGCACATGCAAAAATCGATGGACGTGTACATGCATGCTTCCTTGCCTATACATACAGACATATAACATATATACATGTATGTATGTATATACAGATGTATACAGATATTTCAAGACGTGCACTATTTGCCATAACCATGCATACGTATGCATGTACTTAGGCTGAGCTACCTGATGCTTTCGGTCACCTTGGTGCCTGCCCCTCCTCTTTTTTTTTTTTTTTTGTTTTGGGGGGGGGACCCTTTCAATCCCGAGACTTGAGAGATTTAGGGTTGGTGTTGGCTTTGGGAACCTATTTTCGCTGGCTATTGCTTTAAAGCTCCTTCAGGGGACATTCAGGGCAGCCAACCCGATCCCCTGACTTGCAAATCGCCTGCAAAGCCTTCAGCGGAAGCTACTATTCAAGAACGGAGTCAGTGGTGAGTGGCCGCGGATAAAGTTGAATTGAAAGGCTACTATAGGGGCCTATGTTAATAGAATGGGAGGCGTGCAACGTTTGGGGTTCCTGCAATCTCCCACAAACCCTCAAACCCCAAACCCAGAAAAGACACACCCTCTAAACCCTAAACCCCGTGCTGAACAAGTTCAGCCCTGCAGGGGGTTTCTCTGTTTCTCAGCTTCGCTGACCACAGATGCTGTACCTGCCAAGCCACCAGGACTTCCAAATCTGCACTCGGAAGCAGATCAACAGCACGGGCGATGCTTTCCACCTTAGTCGGGGGAGTCATACCAACCCTAAAACCTAAACCCTACACGCCTAAACCCTAAATCCCAAAGCCTAAACCCTAAACCCCAAAACCCTGAACCCTAAACCCTAAAGCCTAAACCCTAAACCCCCAAAACCCTAAACCTTATGGTGGGCATTGATTGGGGGTTGCTCCGGTGCGCTTTGCCACTCGAGGGTTCTCCAGCCCTGTACTCCTTAAAGGCTTAAGGGGTTCAGGGTTTAGGGCTTATAGAGCTCAGGGTTTAGGGGTTAGTGGTTAGGGTTTAGGGAGTTTAGGGTTTAGGCTATCATGTAGGATTGGTTCGCGACTTTACGTAAGACAGGCACATTTGAAGGACGAAACCCCTAAAAACCTGAAACCCCGCAAACTTTGAAATTCTGAAACCCCGAAACCCTACACCCCTCAACCCCTGAACTCAAAACCCTGAACCCTAAACCCTAACCTCTAAACCCTACACCCCTAAACACTAAACCCTGGGGAGAGTTCTTTCCCCTTAGTTGGCGACCCTGCGGAGGAATACTATGTCTTCAGATACACGGGCTACACTTTCTCAGAAATCGAAAAAAAGTCTAGGGTTTGGGGTCTAGAGTTTAGGGCCGCAAGCCCACAACCCTAAACCCTAAACCCTAAACCCTAAGCCCTAAGCCCTAAACCCTAAACCCTAAACCCTAAACCCTAAACCCCAGACCCTAAACCCTATGAACCCTGAACCCTTGCCACCCCCTGCACTGATCGCATGCCAAAGTTCGATGGACTCCCACGGATTTCGGAAGACGCCTCCACCTACGGGTTCAGGGTGTAGGATTGACGTTAGGGTTCAGGGTTCGGGTTTAGGGTTTAGGGCTTAGGGATTAGGGTTTAAGGGTTAAGGGTTAAGGGTTAAGGGTTTAGGGTTCAGGGTTCAGGGTTCAGGGCTTCGGGTCCACCTATATACTACATACTTGGGCCTTGAAGCGAATATGTGGGAACCCCCTTTCAAGCCGAAGTACATACCATATAGGCACGTGGACCCTGAGGGTTTGTTGGGTTTCTACGGTTTCTAGAGGTTCTAGGGTGTTTAGGGCTTCTTTGGTTTAGGGTTTTAAGGTTTGTAGGGTGTACAGGGTATATAGGCTTTAGGTTTTGTAGGAATTTGGGGTGTATAGGGTTTGGGTTTACAAGTCTTTTGGGGGGTCGGGGTAGGGTTGAATGGTCAGGTTGGCGTGTTGATCCCTACGAGCCCATGCACCTGCATGTTAGATACTTGGGCCACTAAGCGTATATGGGCTTGGTAGCCCAGTAACCATATTATAATAAGGGCACCCTTTTGGGGTACTTGGAAGTTCTTGGTGCTTATTAACCAAGTATGACCGTACTTATAACCATACTAGGGCACTTAAGGGGCTGATAAGTGGGTTATAAGTACAGTTATAATTGATTAAAAAGTACCATGAACCTCCAAGTACTTTATGAGGGAATCTGGTTCTAGGCCGCCACTGCAGGGCAGACTGGAGTCCAAAATTCCACAGCGCCCTTCCCTAAACCCCAAAGCCTGAAGTTAAGGCCCCATAAACCCTAAACCCTAAACCCTACATCCTAAACCCCAAACCCTCACTAAGTCCTCAATCCTCAGCCAAGACTCCGAACAAATCTAAACACCCTGCAGCTACTCAGTTCTTGGGGCCCGCTGGTTACCTGTACGGCAACCCGGAAGAAACCCTCCATAAGAGTTTAGGGTTTAGGACTTAGGGTTTAGTGTTTAGGGTTTTGGGGCTTGGGGTTTGGGGTTTGGGGTTTACAGTTTAGGGTTTAGGGTTCCCCTGCAGTAAACTCCATAAAGTTGGAACATGGTTTAAGGCTAGTAACCCTCATGGGGCATGCGGGTTATTATGTTCCACCTCTTGGGATCTTGCTGTAACCCTACCCCGCCCTAAACCCTAAACCCTAAACCCTAAACCCTAAACCCTAAACCCTAAACCCTAAACCCTAAACCCTAGACCCCCAGGCCTAGCGGCATGAGGAAGACCTTCGCCCGGCTCCCAGACTCACGGGACCAGCTCGCGGCCGCGCGCAGTGAGCCGAAGTACCTACATCTGAGGCTGCAATGGTTACTGGGATCCGAAGTATCGGCTAGGGTTTAGGGTTTAGGGTTTAGGGTCTAGGGTCTAGGGTCTAGGGTCTAGGGTCTAGGGTCTAGGGTCTAGGGTTTAGGGTTTAGGGTTTAGGGTTTAGGGTTTATTCGTTTAGGTTTCCCTAAGGATTCATGTACCTACATGAAATAGTAGTATTTACTTGGGGCTTAACTGGCTTCCTATCTAGCAGCATTCGGGGCCAAGTATATACTACACAGGTACATGGATCCTTAGATTTGTTTGTGGCCTCAGGATCTCCAGGAGCTAGCTAGGGTTTAGGGTTCAGGGTTTAGGGTTTAGGGTTTCGGGTTTAGGGTTTAGGGCAAAAACTCTGAAAGCAGGCTGCTGAGCAAGCAGGAAGAGCTTGGCGACGGTGCTCTGGAACTCCTGCGCAGGCCTAAACCCTTACCTCGAAAACGCAACCCCTCTACCCTAAACCCTATATTAGGGGATAGGATTAGGGGGATCCTTGGGGACATAGACCCTCTGAATAAGGTCCCTGTTGAAGAGAGCCAGAAGAGGCTGAGGAAGGGCTCCCTTTTTAAGGGCTCCGCCTTCGTCTACCTAGGATATACAAGCCCTGAGAGCCAGACTCTACGAACCAAACGCCCCCGAAATCACACCCCGAAACAAGCCCTGCAAAACACTAAAGCCTAAAACGTCCCCAAAAACCAACCCTGAGACCGATAAACCCCCTACCCAGTGCCCTGGCAGCTCCAGTTCCGCTTGAGGTTTTGGGGTTTTCGGGTTGTCCAAACAGCCCTGAAACGCCTTTGACTTGGAGTGGTGCGGGTCTGGGGGCACCGTGCAGCAGCTGGCCATTTTCAGGGCTTAGTTGGGATGTTCCCCCCTATACTAACAGTCCTTAATGAGGATTAGAGTGCCCCTCCCCACCCCCCAATTACAATCCCTATTAATTAAGGGCACCTGTTCGTATAAGGAGGAAATCCCAAGGGCTTAGGGTTACTTCGGGGCTTCGCTTAAGGATCAATATTAAACTACGGCTTAGGGGTTACATAGTGTTCGGCACCCTATAGAAAGGAGCCCCAAACTTTAACCCCGAAAGCAGCGCCGGATTGTATAGAGGGCTACCCATGTACGCTCCTGCATCTGGGCATCGCCAAAGTTCTTCTGCACCGCCCCGATTCCGTTGACATAAGCCTAGGTCTATACAAATTTGCTAGAGGTTTCGGGCTTTGTGGTGTGGGCGTATATACTGCAGCCTATATGTCTCAATTCACACAACGGGGGGTCGCTGACCAGCTTTCGCAGACACTTCGTTTGGAGAGCTGCGGGAATCGTGTATCTGAGGCTTAGGGTTGAGGGTCTATAGCATCTGCAACTTGCCAAGCCTGTCATAAAACCTCCCCCAGTTAGGGTGGTTTGGGGTCTCCCCCCCCCCCCCCCCCCCGTCCCCCATGCCAACACCCCCCTAAACCCTAAACCCTAAACCCTTAACCCACAAAACTCTCTGAAACCTGAAGCCAGAGCCCTCAATCAAGCTCCCGCACATGGGTAGCTTCCTCAACTCGGGACCCAGCTTGGGTACCCATGAAAAAGGCGGCACCCTTTCAAAAAAAAAGGGATCCCAAAAAGGGGCCCTAATTTCAAGAACTACTGTAGGAGCCTGAATTAACAATTAGAGAAGGTTTTTTTTGTTTTTTTTGGGGGGGGTTCTAGTATAACTATACAGGGCCATCAAGGAATATTACTAGTAATGCCCCTAAGCCCGAAACCCGCCCTAAACCCGCCCTAAACCCTAAATCCTAAACCCTAGGGGGTTATTATAGTATACTTAGAAAGGGACCATAAGGGAATATTATTATTCCGACCCCCAGACCCCAAACCCTAAACCCTATACTACCCACATGCCCAGTGCTGGGCCGAGGTGCGTTGATGGGGACCGCCGAGGCGTAGACCTCAGGAAGTGAAAGGACTTTGGGCTGTGGAACGTAGGGTTTAGGGCACCCTAAACCTTAAACCCTAACCCCTAAACCCTAAAACCCTAAAGCCTAAACCCTAAACCCTAAACCCTGAACCCTGAACTCTAAACCCTAAACCCTAAACTCAAAGTAGGGTATAGGGGCCAAGACCCCGAAGAAAAAACGCACAGCTGCATCCTCATGCCTAGAGGAGTCTAGGTTGGCTTTGACTATGGCATTCTTGTGAAACTTAGCCCTAAACCCTAAGCCCTAAACCCTAGTAGCGCCAACTCCACCTGCCACTGACACAGTTCTCCAGCTGAAGTATGATCTACACATATACATAAGAATATATATATATACATACCTACATATGTAGACATATATGTATGTATGTATGTATGTATGTATGTATGTATGTATGTATGTATGTATGTATGTATGTATGTATGTATGTATGTATGTATGTATGTATGTATGTATGTATGTATGTATGTATGTATACACACGCGCATGTATATGTTTTTGTGCTCCGTACCAACAACAGAAGTGGGAGAGGGACAGGACGTGTGCCATGGCTAAGAGGCAACCAGAATGCTTCCGAGTAATCCCTTCCCGAACATTAATACCCCTAAACCCTAAACCCTAAACCCTAAACCCTAAACCCTAAACCCTATACCCTAAACCCTAAACACCTTGGGATGCTCCCCCTTATACTAACAGTCCTTCATCGGGATTAACGTGGGGGGTGCTTTAATCCCGATGAAGGATTGGTATAAGGGGGGAACGTCCCAAAACACACCCTTGAGGCGGGGGTTGGGGGGGGGGGGGGGGGGGGGGGGGGGGCTGACGCCTCAAACCTAGTACCCGGAAAGCTTGAAACCTGCTCCATGACTGAGCCAGCAAGCTGCAAGGACAGGCTGTTTGCATAAGGATCCCGCCTAATACTAAAACGCTTTGGGGGTCTGGGCCTTTAATATTGGGGGGAAGGGATTACCCCTGTTCAGGCTCGTTCTAGCCGCCGTAAACTCCAAACCCGAACCCGAAACAGGTCCGAAACCCTAAGTCCTTAACCAGACAAAGAAGCCTCAACAAAAAAAACCGAGACTCGAGGTTCACAGTGTGCGCGGCGTGGGAAAACTCAGCCCTGGGCTAGGAAGGGCTTTCAAGGGTTTAGGTGGGGTTTAGGGTTTAGGGTTTAGGGTTTAGGGTTTAGGGTTTAGGGTTTAGGGTCTAGGGTGTATACTGTAGGGTGTATAGGGTATAGGATTTAGAGGGCGTAGGAAAAGACCAACACTGAAAGAACCCTAAACCCAAACCCTCGACCCCCCACCCCACCTTGAGCGCAAAACCCTCCCCAAGTTTGAAGACCGAATGAAACACACTTCATAGGATCATAGACAGGGTATGAGACATGCACCCTTTTCTACGATAATCCTATGAAGAAGTAAGCCACGCAACCATGAGTCCTTTTTGGGTTCACTCAGCCTCCAAACCCTAACCCTAAACCCTACACCCTAAACCCTAAACCCTAAACCCTAAACCCCACTTAGGCCTCATTGAACCCCCCACAAAGAAAAGACTAAACCCTAAACCCTAAATCCTAAACCCTAAACCCCAAACCCTAAACCCCAAAACAACCGCAAAAAAGGGGACAAAGTGGCCTCCCGGGTGCCAGGCCCAGGGCCGCGACTTCAAAGGCCACCAACAGCCTGAGCTGCGAAAAGGGTTTAGGGTTTAGGGTCTAGGGTTTAGGGTTTAGGGTTTAGGGCTTAGAGTTTAGGGGGCAGGATTTAGGGTTTAGGGTTTAGGGTTTAGGGTTTAGGGTCTTAAGCTTGCTGAATCCCAGGGCTTAGGGCCTTTGAGGGTCTTAAGGCTGTTGAGTTGTAGGGCTTAGGGCCTTGTTTAGGGGTTTAAGGCTGTTGAGTTGTAGGGTTCAGGGTCCATAGATGCTTGGGGTCTTTATGATTTACACTCTTAGCCTTAGCAGCTGGCTAGTCCTATGAACTTTCTCTCCTTTGCTCTTCCTAGACTATATAGCCATGCTCTGTCTCGGTCGGGGGGGGAGGGCTTCCACTGCACATGCTGACACGTGCTTCTTCCCATCACTCCGCCAAGCCCCCCGCGTTTATCGGATCATCTAGATACTGACTGCACTCTACACTTCCCGGGACCTCCCGTCTGGCTCCTTCTCGAGGCTTAGGGTTCTAAGTGCCAGAGATTCGCGAGATAGCTATAGGTGCTAGAATCCTAGGGTCCACGTACCTGATTATTATATACTTGGGCCCAAAGTCCTTTTATAGGAAGAACTTTGAGGCTCGACTATTCCCTATTTAGGTAAATGGAGCAGGCCAAAGAGGCCGCGGCCGAAAGCAATCTGTACGAAACACGGCAGGGGTTTCTTTGGTAAGGGTTAAGGGTTTAGGGTTTAGGGTGGGTAGAGCCACGTACAACTTGGCTGTTGGGCATTCTCGGTGTAGGGGTTCTGTGACCCATATCTCAGTGTGATTCTTTGCATGGGAGCATTAGGGCGTGGGGTGTTTAGGGGGTCTGTGCTCTATTTCTGACCTGCTGAGCAGATGCCCTTGATACCTGGAACCCAAGAACAAAGAAAAAACCTCTAAATCCTCAAAACTCCGAAGCCCTGTAACCCGACTGAAACTCCAAATCCCCCTATCGACCCTGAACCCTAGACCCAAAGCCCGCTTGAACTCCAAAGTTTGGGTTTCAGTGAGGTTTAGGGTTTCGGGTCTATAGTGAAACCCTAAATCCTTAAAACCCGAAACGCCCCTTCCCTAAACCCTAAACCCTAAACCCTGAATCCTAAACCCGAAGCCCGAAACCCGAAACCCTGAAGCCCTAAACTCCTCTACTTTCAGACCAGCGGCCGCAGCGACGGCAACGCCAGGCGCAGGGCATCCAGCGCGTGAGCCGCGGCCTGCGCGGACATACATCTATAACGTTTAGGCTTTAGGCCTTGGGGGTTTAGGGTTTAGGGTTTAGGGTTTAGGGTTCAGGGGGTTTAGGGCTTAGGGTTTAGGGTTTCGGGGCGGGGGGGGGGGTTGGGGATTCGGTATACCCCAGCGATGGAGCGATGGGGCTTAAGTGCCATTTGGGCCTCTATAGCCTGCAACCCAAACAAATCCTCATGTACCTTTAGGGTTTAGGGTTTAGGGTTTTGGGTTTAGGGTTAGCTTGTTAGTATATACTTGGGCCCCAGAGTCCCCACATAGGAAGCTCATTGAGGCCCAAGTATTCCCTATTTAGCAGCCTTAGGGAAAGACAGCTACGGCACAGTCTGCAGGTCTCCGTGATGTTGCTGCTTGTGTTAAGCTTCGCAAGGCTTCCTCCCTAAACCCTAAAACCCCCTGCAAGCCTAAACCCCGGAACGACCTTTTCAAGGGGGTTAAGACTCCGGAAGCAAGTCGACCAGGACTCGCCTGTTCCACGAAAGGCTGGTGTCGTCCGAGGTTGGAATCTCCGTAAGATCCAAAGCGAGGATTGCCGGATCCAACTTGATGCGTTTGCCCTCTCCCGGCGGTGCGGGGCCCTGACTCTTCCTCCACTGTGCCCAGGCGGAGTTAGAGTTGTCAGTCGCCGGATCATGGAAGTAATTCTTGTGCCCTTAAGGCTCTAGCCCTAAGAGGTCCCTTGAAGTGTACTCCTAACCTGGCCCTTTTCTTCCTTATACTAACAGTCCTTACTAGGGATATTAAAAGGAAAAGTACTGTGATCCCTTTTGGGACTGTTAGAGGGGGAACATCCCAATCGGAACCACAAACCCAAGGGTACAACCTTCGGGGTCCAAGGTACAGTCACCCATGATTTGAACCTCAAAACCCTAAGGAAACCGCTTGAAAACAGTAGTTTCGGATTTAGGGGTTTAAAAGTTTAGGGTTTAGGGAACACTGAACCGCAAACCCTAAAAACACACACACACACACACACACACACACACGAAGCCCGAGCCGAAACTCCAACAGCCCAGCACCCAAAACAACACGGAACCCTAAAGCCCCAAACCTAAAGCATAGATCCCAAACCCTAAGCTCTAAACCCTCAACCCCAAACCCCAAACCCGAAACAACCAAAATCCTAAACCCTAAACCCCTACACCCCTAAACCCTACCCGACCTCGTCGCTGTTGGGCACGGGCAGTCTCAGGTAGCCATTGATCACATCGAACCTCTGTGCTGGGTTTAGGGTTTAGGGTTTAGGGTTTAGGGTTAAGGGTTTAGGGTTTAAGGTTTAGGGTTTAGGGTTTAGGGTTTAGGGGTTTAGGGGTTTAGGGGTTTAGGGGTTCAAGGGTTCAGGGGTTCAGGGTTTAGGGGTTCAGGGTTTAGGGTTTAAGGGTTTAGGGGTTTAGGGGTTCAGGGGTTTAGGGGTCTAGGGGTCTAGGGTGTAGGGTTTAGGGACCAGCATGCCTAACAAAAATCAACTTCGTCGTCTTCGCCTTCTGTGTCAAGGGCAAAGGTCTGCCCTGAAGGCAAAACCATCACAAGAACGGCCCAGATCCATGAACCAGCCAGATTCTCAGATCCCAAGGTTTAGGGTTCAGGGTTTAGGGTTGGGTTTAGGGTTTAGGGTTATACGAGTGAAAGCTTGCAAAACCTCTAATCTCAAAGCCCTACACCCCGAGCAAAAGCCATGCTCAGAAACATCTGCTTCTGGCTGGTCACGCCCTTCTCCATCATAGCGGCGTTCGCCAGGCCTATGCACATGACGCCGGACGTGGGATTTTTTCCAAAGTAAGTATGGGGCTGCAGGATATTAGAGGGCCTCTGCTTCTTTTTCTTTTTTTGCGGGGGGGGGGGGGGGGGGAACCCTCTGCTTTTTTTTTTTTTTTTGGGGGGGGGGCGGGGGGAACCCTAAACCCTAAACCCTAAACCCTAAACCCTAAACCCTAAACCCTAAACCCTAAACCCTAAACCCTAAACCCTAGCCCTAAACCCTAAACCCTAAAACCTAAAACCTGAACCCGAAGCCTAAGCCCTCAACCCTACACCCAAACAGCCTTTCTGTCCAGAGTGGTGGCGAGTCGCGATGCAGGTTTAGGGCCTTTGGGCTCAGGTTTTCGGCTACCCTAAACCCTAAACCCTAAACTCCCTAAACCCCCTAAACTCCCTAAAGCCCCTAAACCCTGAACCCTAAAGCCCCCAAACCCCCTAAAGCCTAAACCCTAAACCCCCTGATTAAACCCTAAACCCTAAACCTTCGGGCTCATCACGCCGAGGCTTCAGAGCTCAGGCTATGTTGGGATTGCAAATCTTGGTAGCCCAGTGACCAGACTTGCTTGCAGGGTACCATTTCTTGGGGTTGGTTACTTTATAAGGGAACCTCGAACCAAAAAAAGGTTTTTTTTAGAAAGGAAGTAGGAAGACCGATGACCTCAGCTAAAACCCTAAACCCTAAGCCCTAAACCCTATGGAGGGGGGAAGTAGGAAGACCGATGACCTCAGCCTGATAAAACGTGGCTGAGGCCGCGGCTCAGGAGCTTTCGCACGGCGCTGATCCCATGCGGGCGACCTGCATGGCTCCCTAAACCCTAAACCCTAACCCTAAACCCTAAACCCTAAACCCGAAACCCCAAACCCCGAACCCTAAACCCTAAGCCCTAAACCCTAAACCCTAACCCTAAATCCCAAACCCTAAGCCCTGTGGGCTTGTAAGGATTAAGGATTTAAGGGATGAGGAAATCAAAGGTTCGAGTGTTTGCGGACCTTGCGGCTCTAGGCTAAGCCCCTAAACCCTAAACCCCAAACCCTGCACCCCTAAACCCTAAACCCTGCACCCCTGAACCCTGAACCCTAAACCCTAAACCCTAAACCCCTAAACCAAAAACCCTAAACCCTGCACCCCTGAACCCTGAGCCCTAAACCCTAAACCCTAAACCCTAAACCCCTAAACAAAAAACCCTCAAACCCCTAACCCCAAAACCCTCAACCCCTAACGCCAAAACCCTAAACCCTACACCCTAAACCCTAACTCTAAACCCCAAACCCTAAGCCCTGAGGGTTTCTAAGGACTATAAGGATTTAAGGGATTAGGAGATTCAAGGTTCGAGGGTTTGCGGACCTTGGTGCTTTAGGTCCCTAAATGCCTAAGCCCTCAAAGCCCTAAACCCCGAAACCCTCAACATCCTCAACCCCTGCACCCCTAAACCCCGAACCCTACAACCTACAACCCTAAACCCTAAACCCCAAACCCTAAACCCTAAACCCCAAACCCTAAACCCTACACCCTAAACCCTAAACCCTAATTAAACCCCAAACCCTAAACCCTAAACCCTAAACCCTAAACCCTAAACCCCAAACCCTAAACCCCAAACCCTTAACCCTTGACCCTCAACTCACTCCCCTCCTTGCGTCGCGGCGTTGGCAAGTAGAAACTGGCCAATGGCCGGATGCGCAGCCAGCTGGGCAGCCGGACCGCCTCGTTGAGTTGAAGGGTTGAGGGTTGAGGGTTTAGGGTTTGGGGTTTGGGGTTTAGGGTTTAGGGTTTAGGGTTTAGGGTTGAGGGTTGAGGGTTTAGGGTTTAGGGTTGAGGGTTTAGGGTTTAGGGGTGTAGGGTTTAGGGTTGAGGGGTTGAGGGTTTAGGGTTGGGAGTTTGGGGTTTGGGGTTTGGGTTTTAGGAGTCGAGGGATAAATGGAGTTTACGGGCGGAGGATTGCATAGGTTGATTGTAGGTCGTGTGATTGCTTAGGTTTATAGGGTTTAGGGTTTTGACATTGGGGCGTACACGCCCAAAGTCTTGATGTATCCGGGTCCGGTGCTGGTAAGGCCCAGGGCATCAGCTGCCCCGTGAAATACCCCAAGAATATCACTCTGATAGAGACCTAGATATACCTAATTTGCCTGAATTGCCCTTCTATGAAGCCCCTAAGCCTTAAAACCCAAAACCCGCCGAAACCCTAAACCCTAAACTACACTAAACCCTAAACACTAAAAACAGGTTCCGCGTTTAGACCCTTAACCCGAGCGCCTGTGTTGTCAAACTTGTACTCCTCGATGCTCTCCACAACGGAACCTTGCAAGAAGAGACCAGATCATGGATTTCCTACTACCCCATCCCTCAAAAAGTTTAGGGTGTAAGGCTTAGGGTCTAGGGTTTAGGGTTTAGGGTTAAGGGTTAAGGGTTAAGGGTTAAGGGTTTAGGGTTTAGGGTTCCCTACTACCCCCCTCTGTACTACCCCCACCACCCCTCAAATAGTTTAGGGTTTAAGGTTTAGGGCTACCCTAAACCCTAAACCCTAAACCCTAAACCCTAAACCCTATAGAGGGGGGTAGTAGGGGAACCCATGACAAGAGCCAACCCCGCAGACTCCCGGAAGCTCGGCCTCCGGCACCGTGTACCCTGAAAGCCTGTTTAGGGTTTAGGGTTTAGGGTTTAGGGTTTAGGGTTTAGGGTTTAGGGTTTAGGGTTTAGGGTTTACGGTTTAGGGTTTAGGGTTTAGGGTCTGGGGTTTAGGGATCAGAAGGTGCGGCGGCTGGGGTTGAGAGTTTAGGGCTTAGGGTAGCTGAGCTGCCTCCCAAGGGGCAGTGTGAGGGAAACTCCACTCCGTTGAACTGAGACGGGAGGACGAAGAAGGCGTGGGCATTCTCGGGCTTCTGCATCTCCGCCATCACCTCCAGGCTTGATTTAGGGTTTAGGGTTTAGGGTTTAGGGCGTTTAACCCTGCGAGCCTTGAAAGCCCGAAAAGCCCGAAAAGCCCCAAAGCCCCAAAAGCCCTAAACCGAAAATCCTAAGCACTAAACCTCTGAAACCCCACAACCCTAAACCTTCCCAACAACTTGAACGTTGGTTGCGCATTCTCGCTTGGGTGGTGCACAATACAGCCTCGAGGCGAGTAGTGTTTTCTTGCTGTAGAAGCAACGATAGCGTGGTACAAACTTTCGCGACGTAATGCTATCGCTCCGATAGCAAAAACACTTCCGGCAAACGCACGCCTGAGATCAAGCCAAGACCCAGCGCCAGACCTCGAACCATTAGGGCCTTAATAATTAGAATCGGGTTTTCGGGGCTGTCATAGTATAATTACACATGGACCATGAGGGAATACTATTAGTATTTATTTTCCGACGCCTATATTACTTGCAAGAGTTGGTCTTCCAAGGGCCTTTAGCGCGATGGGCCAACCCCAAACGCCAACCCGAGATCGAGCCTTCGAAAAGATTCACATCCTGGTAAGCTGTGCAAGGCCCCTACATTGCATGCCTCACTGTCACTCCCCTAGCTCAAACACAAATGACAGAATCAAACAAGAGGCCGATGCGAAAGAAAGGGAACCCCAAACGCGCAAAGGTCAGGATGAGAGTGGAGCGCAAGCGGGGATGGGGCTGCACAATTCGGGGCGCACGCCTGCGTGCTTTTAGCTGACACCCTAAACCCTAGACCCAAATCTTGGGATGTTCAGCCTTATACTAGCAGTCCTGAATCGGGATCATAGTACCCCGAAATTCCATCCCTTATAAGGACTGCTACATAATATAAGGGGTAACATCCCAACCCAAATCCCTCTACATCTTCCCCTAAACCCTAAACCCTGAACCCTAAACCCTAAACCCTAAACCACAGCTTTCCCGAATAGATGCCCATGAAAGCCTCTGAGCTGACGATGCTGATGCAGGGCCGATCGTCCAGGAGGGGCCTCGGCTCTTTACAGGCGGGTTTAGGGTTTAGGGTTTAGGGTTAGGGTTTAGGGTTTAGGGTTTAGGGTTTAGGGTTTAGGGCTTAGGGCTTAGGGTTTAGGGTTTAGGGTTTAGGGTTTAGGGTCTAGGGTTGCAGGGTTTAGGGCAGGAGGCCCCAGGGCTTGGTGAGGGTCTATGGCTTTTGCGTGTTTAGGGGTTAGACTCGTCAAGCTGTGCGGCCGTGGCTGGCTATTCGTACCCCCCCCCCAAAAAAAACAAAGGTTTCAATAACCAGTTCTAACAGTTCCTATGGCTATATGCCCAACATCTTACTACCCGTTAATCGCCAAGTCGAAGTATTAGAGGTCAGGGTACTTTGGGTAGGGCAGTCAGGGTAATGGGACCACGGATTGTTTTCCGCCGTGTGCGTGTGCGTGTGCGCGTGCGTTGAGGGGCTTGGGGGGGCATCGAATAGTTAAGCCCCGAGACTCCAGCCCCCGAAGCCCTGATCCAAGGCTCTCTCGGGTTAGGGCTTAAAAGGCCTGTTTCGGGTTTTCTCGGAACATCACCCTCAACCTCCAAAACACTCCAGCCGTCAGCGGGTTGTTTCAACTTTCGTTGGTCCTACCGATTCAGATTCAGAACACGAACTTCTTGTGCGTAAACCAACCTGTGCCAAGTTTCTCGGGTAAACGCCAAAGCGGGCTCACTTCCGGAACTGTTCCTGCGGGTAGTTTGCCTCACAAAAAATCCCTCCCTGGCCCGCAAACGCAAAACCCTAAACATTCAAACCCTTAACCCTAAGCGCAACCTAAACCCCCAACCTACACCCCTAAACTAACCCCCTAAGCCACTAAACAGTCAGCCCGAAACCCCTAACCCTAAACCCTAAACCCTAAACCCTAAACCCTAAACCCTAAACCCTAAACCCTAAACCCTAAACCCCACCAAACTTCGGTAACCTCCTTTTGTGAGCTCCGGACCTCGACAGGTCGAAGTCCGCCTCCGCATCCAAAGACAGGGCCGCAAAGCGCCCGAGCCTTCGGTTTAGGGTTTAGGGTTTAGGGTTTAGGGTTTAGGGTTTAGGGTTTAGGGTTTAGGGTTTAGGGTTTAGGGTCTAGGGTCTAGGGTTGTTTATATAGGGTTACGGGGGTTATTTAGGGTACGTACGAAATAAAGTTTATACAAGACTTATGGGGTTCATCGGGTATATGGGTTGTTAGGTCGTTTAGGATTCGCTTGGCATATAGGGTTTCTAGGGTTCATATGGGGCATACAGGGTTTCTTTGTTTATGGGGTTCTTAAGGGAGGGGGGTTCAAGGGGAGTATGTAACCCAAGGTTCCCTAGTACTCCCCACTACTCCCTAAGGCTCCCTCAGCTTCCCTAGGTACCTACCCCCCTTGAAGCCCACTCCCTTTAGAACCCTATAATTTGTTGAAGGGTTTGGGGTCCAGGGTTTCGAGCCTTCTCGGGTTGAGGGTCTGGGTCCATAATTCTCAGGCTAGAGGTCTGCAGGTAGCAAAAAACGGACCAGGCTTTCATGTTTTAGGCTTAGACAGAGAGCTGTTTCGGTTCACCCTAAGCACAAATTAAACCCGAATGATTGGAGTTCGGGGGGGGGGGGGGTTTATGGTGCAGGGTGGGGTTTAGATTAGGATTTGGAGGTTTCGGGAGGGAGTGTCGGGGTGCCCAAAACTCTAGGCTTTTGGGTTTTAGGGTTCAATGTTACCCTAAAACCCAAAAGCCTAAACCATAAAGCCTCAGCCCAAACAGGTCCAGGCCGCTTCTTGCCGGGGGCGGCTTCGTCGCAGATAGCTCCCGTCGCAGGGTCGAAGGAGAACTGCCCAGCGCAGATGCCTCGAACACTTCTTTCAGGGCTTCAGGGCTTCAGGGCTTATAGGGTTTAGGTTTAGGGCTTAGGGCTTAGGGCTTAGGGCTTAGGGTTTAGGGTTTAGGGTTTAGGGCTTCAGGGCTTCAGGGCTTATAGGGCTGTAGGCTTAAATTTAAAGGTAAATAACCTCAAACAGGAACCTGAAGAACACTGCCCCGAACTCGCTTGGGTTTGGGGCTTCTTGGGTTGAGGGTTTAGGGTTTAGGGTTTAGGGTTTAGGGTTTAGGGTTTAGGGTTTAGGGTTTCGGGCTTGGGGTTTCGGGCTTCTAGGGTTTGGGCGCTTCTAGGGTTAAGGGCTTCAAGGGCTAAGGGTTAAGGGCTTCAGGTTTACGGGCTTAGCATGTGTATTGTGTGGAAGGAACCCTTGCCACGAGAGTTGTGCTGTGAAGCCTGAATGCGATACTCGGAGCATTTACCCCTGAAGCCGTACTCGAATTGTCAAGCTAGAGGAATTAAAAAAAAACAAACTAAACGTTTGGGGTTTAGGGTTAAGGGTTAAGGGGCTAGGGTTGAGGGTGTACTAAACACTGTCCGCTACACCCCAAACCCCAAAACCCTAACCCAAGAAGCAACCTGAAGAACCAAGAGCTATGCCCACAGTACCTGCCTGAAGATTCTCATCTGCCTCCTTGGTTTCGGGTTTACCTCAAACACAAAAATGAGAGATGCCTTACAGTCGTTTTGTAAATAAACTTATACAAGGGCCCCTGTACTGTCAAAAATTAGTCGGAGCTTTAGAATTAAGCGGTGAGGGTTTAGGGTTTAGAGTAGGGTCGAGTACTTGGACGCTCAACCCTAAACCCTAAGCCCTAAACCCTGAACCCTAGACCCTTGGGGAGGTGGAAGAGGGGGGGAGGGGGGGGGTGGCGCCAGGAACTGATCCCAGGTGCTTGGCTCTCTGCCAGGCGCCCGCTGCGTCTGCAGTGCGTAGGGCCCTGTCGCCACAAGGCTGCGCCTGAGCCAAGCGGATTCAAGCCTAATCCCGAAACCCGAAACCCGAAACCCTAAACCATAAGCCCTAGACCCTAAACCCTAAACCCCCTAAACCCTAAACCCTAAACCCTAAACCCTAAACCCTAAACCCTAAACCCCCTAAACCCTAAACTTCAGGGCTTCTGAGCTTCTGAGAGCTTCAGGCATTAAATGTCATTTAAAAACCAGCACAGCCTGCACCTCCCCGGCTGCCTCCCTCAGCCCCCCTACAACTCCGCGTTACATCCCACGACCTTCGGGTTTAGGGTTTAGGGTTTAGGGCTTAGGGTTTAGGGTTTAGGGTTTAGGGTTTAGGGTTTAGGGTTTAGGGCGACTGCGTGGCAATCCGGCGTTCGTGTGGTCCCCAAAGGGGCCTCAACCTCAGCCCAAGCCGCAACAGTCCCGGCCCGACCTGCTCATGGCATAGCGCACCAGGAACTCCTCGTCTTCGACCGTCTCCGCCTCTCTAAACCCTATAAACCCTAAAAACCTTGTAAACCCTATAAATCCGAGATCAACCCTGCAAACCCTAAAAACCCTGTGAAACCTGAAAAAAAAACATAAACCCTCAAGATCCTATACGCCCCTAGAAACCCTGGAAGCTCTAGAAGCTCAAGTTGCCAGGACGGGCTCTAAACCCTGGATCTTCTTCAAAGGCCCTCCACTAAATGTGGTACAAGCCCTGCAACCCGGAAGCAAAAAGGGCTTAAAAGGGGGCTTCCTAGGGCACCTAAACCCCGAGAAAAAAAAACAAATGAGGGCCTACTCTGGGTCCTGGTTTTTAAAACCCTAACCCTAAACCCTAAACCCCAAACCCTGAAGGGGGTAGTGTCCTATAGAAACCCTAGAACCCCCCCCCCCCCAAAAAAAAAAAAAAAAAAAAAAAAGGTCTCCAAGCCCAGAGCCCAGACGTGGCTGGCCTCAGCGGGTTGCGATGCGTAGCCACGTCCAGGGCCTCTCTTTGGGGGACCCTAAACCCTAAATCCTAAACCCTAAACCCTGAACCCAAAACCCTAAACCCTAAACGCTGGGGAGCTTAGGGGGTTCAAAGTCGCAAAGCAGGTACGAGCAAAACATGGCCTAATTGTTCATTGGCACAGGTCTTTAGTTCGTGCATACTATTATAACCTATAGGATGACCCTGAAAACCCTCTGAAAAAATATTCCTGAAAATGATCCTCTTAAACCCTAGAAGGGAAAATATAATGTCCCACAGGCCTACCCAGTAACGATACAGGGGTTTACGATAATAAGGGACCCCCACTATAAACCCCTAGGATCCCCTTGTAATATGGACCCCAATAAGGTACCCCTAATTTCGGAAATCCCCAAACAGGGGTTGTCAGGCCAATTGAACACCGGCACTGAATTGCTTAGACCCATGTACTGCCTACAAGACCATGATGGTTTAAATCGAATATCAAGGATCCTGACCCTTACAATAGGGAACACAATGCTTGGCATCCAAGTATGGACAAGTAGCCTGGACAATGACTTGGCAAGAGGCAATGTTGCGCCCTAAACCCTAAACCCTGAACCCTAAACCCTAAGTTGCTTTTGAAGTGGAACCACCCCTTTCAGAGACGCCCAGTGTGTGAGACACCTTCTTCAGGGCTTGAGGGGGGTTCAGGGGTTTAGCCGAAGCCCTAACCAAAAGAGTGCAGTACAAGAAGTGGCCTTATGCCAAAGTATGTGCCTATAAACCCTAAACCCCCACGCCCCCCCCCCCCCCCCCCCAAAGCCGATATTTGTCGAAACCCCAACAAACCCAACCGTCCAAGTCAAGTGCCCTGGGACTGAGATCCCAAAACCTTGCCCCTCAAAACCTCAAAGGGTGTCTTGGTGTTTAGGGAATTTTAGGGAGTTTAGGGTTTAGGGACTTACCCCAAGGGTCCATGTACCTTGTTATTAGATATTTGAGCCACAAAGTCCTTATACAAGAAGTACATTAAGGCCAACATAAACCCTAAACCCTAACCCCTAAACCCTAACTCCTGACCCCTAACCCCTAACACCTAACCCCTAACCCCTAACCCCTAAACCCGAACCCCCAAGTATGGTTAGAGCTTATAGGACTTAGGGCTTTGGACTTGGGACTGTTAGACTGGTGATAAGCCTTCTTGCGTGGGTTCCTACCCCCCTCTACAGGGTTTAAGGTTTAGGGTTTACGGTTTAGGGCTTAGGGTTTCGGGTTTAGGGGTACTACCCCCCTCTATACTAGCCCCACCCCACAGGTTCCCCCCAATCCTATTTCAGGAGAATTAACCCAATGAAGGTTCTTTAAGGGGGGAACCTAGGGGGGCTTAGTGTAGTATGGACGGGGGGGGGTAGTAGGGAAACCCATGAATCTTGCACGCAAAAGGTCCCAAATCTTGCTCTGGAAAGCGGCCAGCCCTTCAAACATAACCCCTCTCACCCCAAAAAAACCCTCAATGGAGCATGCCCAAAGCGCAAGATGTATCCAGAACTTAAGGCAGCTTGCGCCTCTGTCACCAGATCGTCGAATGGCACAGATTTCAAAGATCACTAGCGCGCACTTTGCTTTCAAGTAAAGCTTGAAGCGCTTCGCGCGTCCAATGGCATTGTGCGCGGTCGTCCACTCAACAGGCTCAGTCACAAATTCGCTGAGCACGCTCGCAATGTGTTCCGATGCAGGATTCTCGATGAGATCTCTGACATGTGAACGGCAGCATGAATCCCACGCTGATCCATCTCCTTCAACGCATGGAGTACCCATAGTTGTGGGGACCATTGTGCGTCTTGCTGGGGCGTAGGAACTTGACGACGTCATCGAGAGCTTCCTAGCCCGTCCAACCCTAAACCCTGAACCCTAAACCCTGAACCCCTAAACCCTTAAAACCCTTCACAACTCGAAGACCGGGAAATCGCCTGGCCTTTTCCCTTGGAGGGTGGCTTCCCCATGGCTCAGGGATTGGGGCGAAGAGTTAGGAGCTGAGCATGTAGGGTTTAGGGTTTAGGGTTTAGGGTTTAGGGTTTAGGGTTTAGGGGTTTAGGGGTTTAGGGGTTGAGGGGTTGAGGGGTTGAGGGGTTTAGGGGTTAAGGGGTTAAGGGGTTTAGGGGTTTAGGGGTTTAGGGGTTTAGGGCTTTAGGGCTTTAGGGCTTAGGACTTAGGGTGCCTGGACTTAGGGTGCCTGAGGTTTCAAGGTATTAGGGCGCATTTCTTGTTGGGCTTCGGGTTGAGTTCCGTCGGGTCTTGGGCGGACTCTTTGTGCAGCTAAGCAAGAGGCTGCCATTGGACCCACCCTAAACCCTAAACCCTAAACCCTAAACCCTAAACCCTAAACCCTAAACCCTATATTGGGAAGAAGGGTGCCCTTCCTGGCTGAAAAAGGGGCAAGCGCACCTAAACCCTAAAAACAGGGGGAATAAGGGCCTACTCTGGGGTCCTAGATGAGGAGTCTTATTGTAGGGTTTCTGGGTTATGGGCCGTTTTGAGACTCAGCGAGTTTTGGTGTTCAGGAATTAGGGCTTGTACGACTCAGGGTTCCAGCGCAATTGAGGCGCGCAGCATCAGCATTCGGGTCGTTGTTCTAGCATCAGCATGCGGCTTGGGCTTTTGGGCCTTCTGGCTGTAGGGGGTCTGAAACCCTATGCCGTAAACCCTAAATTCTACATCACAAGTCGTCAGAAGCCAAAGCCCGACTCTAATTGTTCGAAGTGCGTGTTTTTGTCGGTGGCCAATCCTATGGAGCCCTAATCCCGACCAGGTTTAGGGTTTAGGGTTTAGGGTTTTGGGTTTAGGGTTTGGGGTTTAGGGCACACGCTAAACCCGAAAGCCTACATGCCCTTAAACTTTGAGTGCGTGCACCTCCAAACTGCAGCCTTCGACCACTCAACTAAACCCTAAACCCTAAACCCTAAACCCTAAACCCTAAACCCTAAACCCTAAACCCTAAACCCTAAACCCTAAACCCTAAACCCACCAAGCCAGCAAAGCATCTACACTCTGGGGCAAGAAAGGGGGGCGGGAGGGGGGGGGGGCGGGGGGACCCTTTCTTTACCTTAAACCCTGAACCTAAACCCTGAACCCTAAAACCCTGAACCCTATAAACCCTACAAACCCTTTAAAAACCCTGTATACCCTGTAAACCCGGTAAACCCTCTTAAACCTCCAAACGCTGTAAACGCTATAAAGCCTACAAACCCTATCAATCCTGTAAACGCACAAAAAAACCTTCTAAACATTATAACCACTATGAACCCTTTAAACCCTACAAACCCTCTAAACCCTCCGAACCCTCTAAACCCTAAACCCCCGAAGCCCTAAACCCCAAACCCCAAAACCCCAAAACCCCAAAACCCCAAAACCCTAAAACCCTAAAACCCTAAAACCCTAAAACCCTAAAACCCTAAAACCCTAAAACCCTAGAACCCTAAAACCCTAAAACCCTAAAACCCTAAAACCCTAAAACCCTAAAACCCTGAAACCCTAAAACCCTAAAACCCTGAAACCCTGAAACCCTAAAACCCTAAAACCCTAAAACCCTAAAACCCTGAAACCCCAAAACCCTAAAACCCTAAAACCCTAAAACCCTAAAACCCTAAAACCCAAAACCCAAAACCCTAACCCCCCCCCCCCCCCCGCCCTCCCTCCAAGTCAGCCTCATGGTCCCCACGCCGGCTGGGAGACGTGCTCTCCGCACCTCTTGCTTTTGCAAGTCATGGCAAGGGTTTAGGGTTTAGGGTTTAGGGTTTAGGGTTTAGGGTTTAGGGTTTAGGGTTTAGGGTTTAGGGTTTAGGGTTTAGGGTTTAGGGTTTAGGGTTTAGGGTTTAGGGTTTAGGGTATTAGGGTTTAGGGTTTAGGGTTTAGGGTTTAGGGTTTAGGGTTTAGGGTTTAGGGTTTAGGGTTTAGGGTTTAGGGTTTCGGGTTTAGGGTTTGGGGTTTGGGGTTTGGGGTTTGGGGTTTAGGGTTTAGGGTTCAGGGTTTAGGCTTAGTGGGGGGGGGGGGGGGGTAGTAGGGGGTTGTAGTAGGGGCTTTGGGTTTAACTAAGGGTTAAAGGGGTTTGAGGCTTTTGAGGCTTTTCAGGTTGAGGGCTGGAAGCTTTCAGGGTGCCTGCGCTGTAGTCTGGCTTGAGGCTTATTCAGGGTTTAGGGTGTAGGGTTTAGGGTTTAGGGTTGAGGGTTGAGGGTTTCCGCAAATTCTGGGCTTAGGGTTTACCCTAAGGCTCTAAGGCCTCTTCTGGGTTTTTGGGCCCAAAGGCCTTCTCCTATAAGCTTTTTGGGCTATTTTGAGCCAAGGGTTAGGGTTCAGCATCCCACGTCGAAGATTTACACTGGTCAAGCCACCCGCCCATTGGGTCCCACAACATCACCCCGAACCCTAAACCCTCAACCCCTAGGCGGCTTTGTAGCCCTAAACCCTAAACCGTAGCCCTAAACCCTAAACCCTGAACCCCGAACCCTAAACAGGCAGTTATCCACCCACCTTTCATGAGACTCTTTGACGTGCATGGTTTCGTGGTGCGCAGGGTTCCAGGAGTGGTCAGGGATTATACATTTGGAACAGAAACGGTCTGAGGTGCGCAATGGTTGCCACTTGAGAGTAGCAAGAACTCGTGGCCATGAAACCATGACCCTGAACCCTAAACCATTGAACCCTAAACCATAAAACCCTAAACCCGAAAGGACCACGTATGCCCATGAAAAGATGCGACTCTGCCGACGACAGATCACATCTGCCCCACCAAGGAATTCTACAACCAACATGTTTAGGGTTTAGGGTTTAGGGTTTAGGCTTTAGGGTTTAGGGTTTCAGGTTTTGGTTTGGGGCTGGAGCGAGGCAGGGGAGCCCTGATGCACCTTTCTTATACAGTAAGTCCCAAACCCTAATCCCTAAACCCTAAACCCTAAACCTAAACCCCAAACCCTAAACCCTAAACCCTAAACCCTAAAACGTGCCACGGCCCCCATGGCTGTTCGGAACGCTTACGACGAAGGAATGCGGAAGACTCATGAGCCGTATGTTCCCCAAAATCCGAAACCGCAGAAGCACCATCCCCCAAAACCTTCGGGATGTAATTCCCCTAAGGGTTTATGTACCGAAATATGGCATACTTGGGCCGTAAAGTACCTCCTACATAGGGACTGTAGGGCTCAAATATATCATAGTGAGGTACATGGACCCTTAGGGATTCACTCCTTCCACAACACCCTAAGGAGAAGCTCCACAACAGCAACTTGGCTGCACTCATGAGGGTAGCTATAAATTAAACACTTTTAGCTGCCTTAATAAGAAACCCAACAAACCCAAAAAAGCAAAGGATCTAAAGTTACAGTAAAGTACCACAACAGCAAGCTTCAAGATTCTTTTGACAGATTTAGCTGCCTCCAGGGTCAGCTTGCCGGGTTCCCCCCAGTAGGGGTTCCCCCCAGTAGGGGGCCCTCTAAAGGAGTCGGGCATGCATGTAAAAGATGCTCTAAGTACTGCATGTAGGGGGTGTGGAAGCAGACAGAGTGCTCCCCCAAAATGGACTTTGCCAAGACTGCAGGTGTGTGTAACCTGAGGGGGTGCAAGATGAAGCAGCCTTTACCGCCGACCCTGTGTCCGCACGTGTCGGGGCTCTTGCACTTGAACCCCAAACCGCCGAATATAGGGGCCTGAACAATTCGAATATATATTTTTTTTTTTGGGGGGGGGTTCTTATAGTAGAAGTATGAAGGGAACTTAAGAGAATACTTTTAGTAAGCAAGTCAAGGGTTTGTTGACCGCTCACTGGTTCCGGCAAGGCAGCTTGAGCTAACTTGGTAGCCCAGCAGGCACATGAGTATAAGGCACCCTGTTCGCAGTTGTGTATTTTATAAGAAGACCTTATTTGGGGGGTTTACGAAACTCGGGGACCCTCAATATAGATCCCCGAATAGTAGGATTGTCCTTATCATACGGACCCCAGTAAGGTACCCCGAATTTCGGAAACCCCCCACTTAAAGGGAACCTAGAACCAACAAAAAAAGGGGAAAAGGGCACCAGTGGCCTACCAAGCTAAGCTATGACTCATGAACCGCTGGGGAGTTGGTCTTCAGGGCCTGGAGCACACCTTGGCAGCCCAGGCACATTCTAACAAGCTTGCGCCCTTTTTGGGGGGGTTGGTTGGGATGTTCCCTTATAGGAACAGCCCTTTCATAGGGGTTATAAGAGGGGGTACTGGAATCGTTATTAATGTTCGTATGAGGGGGAACATCCCAAGGGGTTGGTTGCTTTATAAGATAAACCCTAAACCCTAAACCCTAAACCCTAAACCCCAAAGCCTAAACCCTAAACCCTAAACCCTAAACCCTAAACCCTGAACAAAAAAAAGGCAAGGCGTACCACTGGGCTACCAAGACGCACGAACGCGCTGCGAGGTAGTCCGGGCAGCATAGCCTCACGTCCTGAGCAGACTTCTGAACCCCTCCTGAAAGGTTTAGGGTTTAGGGTTTAGGGTTTAGGGTTCAGGGTTTAGGCTCCTTGTTGTAGTTTATACAAAAAGCCAAACGGTTAAAGTCCTAAGAGCCAGCCAGAAGAAAGCCAAGTGTCATGGGAGTGAATAACTGGCGAGTTGGCCCCAACCATGTGGCAGGCGTGGTGTTCGGCGTTCCTGACCTCAACTGGGTTTAGGGTTTAGGGTTCAACTGGCTAACCCCTATAACCCTGAAGCCGAAACCCTAAGCCCTAAGCGTGGTTTTCAGCCTTCTTCACCTCAACTGGCAAACCCCTAACCCTAAACCCTCAACCCTATAAACCCTAGACCCCAAACCCTGAATCCTGAAGCTTTTCCGCTTGTGTGAAGCCCCGCGTGGTCCAACGTAACTTTGTCATGAACCCAGAACCCACTGGGCCCAGGGTTTGGGGTTTGAGGTTCGGGTAGAGTCCCTCTTACTATACTAGAGTAAGGGTTTAGGGCTTAGAGGGGGTGAGTAAGTCG